CATTATTCTTATGCTCACGTTTGAGCTTCATTTTTTTAAGTAAAATTTTCAGTAATTTAAGTTTGGATAGAAGCTTGTTACTGATAACTATTTCACGTATGTTTATTGACACAAAATTTCATTAAATTAAAATAAAATAATACTAATAGTTACCTCGCAATAAATTAAAAAAAAATAAAAATGCTATTGTACTGACAATATGGAAAAGGGAGATAGGTGTTTCTGTGAGGTGAAACTGTATACGGTTGGTGTCTACTAATTAAGGATTGGCCGAATTAAAAAAAATATGCAAAATGGTAAATTAGGGGGCTATTTCTTGCCTATATTGTTGAAAATTAATCAAAGCAGGTTGCTTAGTGGAGCAGGTAAGTGCAACCCTGACTTTTGGTACTGAATGAGCTCCCCTTAATAGGCTAGATTAAGGAGAGTGCGATCGAAACCTGAGACAACAATAACAAATACAGAAAGAAAAAGCAGCATTATAATGTCACCTTTTTTTTTAAAGAAAAATCATTTGCGGTCACTGAGCCGACAAGACTGCCATGATTAAAAATAAAGGGACAGTACTACACAACTGAAATGGAGCTTAACAACTTCCATTATTCTCATGAAAGAAAAACGCTTTTTAAATTAAAACTGAAACAAAAAAATATTTGAAGAAACACACTCAAACAAAATCGTATGAAAATTCAAAAGATAAAAAATTCTTATGCGTGAATATATACAAGCGTCATTTAAAAAAATAATGTTATATTGCATAGCTTTTAGTTTTATTTGTGGTTTTCTTATGGTTACAATATTGTAAAACTTAAGAAATTTAATCGACAAAGGAAAAAAAAAAGAAAGAAAAGAAAAATAGAATTTTTTCAATTTTTAAAAAATAACCCTGGACGAAATATGAATCCATTAAATGTTTTACTTTTAGTGTTTAACTCTTATATAGATTTTTGTATTTTTAAAAAAATGATAATCGTGCGACTGTGTTGTGTTAAATTTAAAAAAACAACAACAACAACAAAAAAACAACAACAACAAAAAAAAAAAAAAAAACAAACAAAAGAAACGATGACAACCGAGAAGTTCATAAATTAATTCTTTTCATTATTAAAAAATGGAATTGTAGAGCTAAATAAAAAGTTTATATTAGCATTTTATGATTCTTTTTATTTAATATATTGTTGCTTAAAATTAAAAACTGAACACGAAGCAATGCAAACGATTGAAAAATAGAAAACGAAACCACAAAAAATTAATTTAAGACATTTTAAAATAGCTGTTTTTGCTATTTTTATTAATCAAGACAATATGTATATATATATATATATATATATATATATATATATATATATATATATATATATATATATGTATGTGTGTGTGTGTTACGTTTTATATATATGTGTGTGTGTGCGTGTGTTACGTTTTTTATGGAATGTACATGCGTTCTATGGGCTTGTATAAGCTACTACTTATGATATATACATATGGACGTGTACTGACAAGTATGCATCTATTTATGTGGAAACAGCGAGAAATGGTCATACAGCTTAGAGATTGATGAGAGGCTGATCTTTTGCCAATTCAGACAACACACAGCAGGTTGACGCGAATTTGTACTACTCTTTCTAATTTATTCCCTTTTGGCTTTCTTCATCTCTTTCTTCTTTCTCTTACGTTATTTTTTATTTTCTTCTTTTATGTTTCTGCCCTCCCATCTTGACCAGTTTTTCTCCTCCCTCTCCATTACGCTGACAACTATGCCCTCACCTCTACCCTTCTTTACTTTCCACCCTACAGAGTTAGCCTACCGTAGGGTCGGTGTCATATAATGAACGCCCCCTAGACCAGAGCAGCCGAGAGCGTGTCACGCCTTTTCTGCCCCGAACGTGGCTAACGGTACTAAAAAATCTACTGATACCACTGCCGTGAAAGAAAGGTTCTAGGCCTCTGCAGGTCTTACAGTGTCAGCCAGGAAGGCAACCTCTTTGGGCTCCTCCCCTCTCGCTGCCACAACTACCTCCACAAACCCATCCTTTGAAACGAGAATATTGAAGAGACAAATCGAATAACTGATAATAATACTATCAACAATAATCATATTGGTTGGACTGTTGCAAATGACAATATTAATAGTAGTTGAAAATCAGGAGTGTGTGTGCGTGCGTGTGTGTGGGCTGAACGACAGACAATAACGGGTGGAAAGATGGTACTATTCTCTTATTTAAAATATAAAGAAAAGTGAGAGAGAGAGAGAGAGAGAGAGAAAGAAAGAAAGAAAGAAAGAAAAAAAGAGGGAGAATAAGTAAAATAATAATAAGTGATAAGAGAACGTGGATTCACTGAATGAATAAGTGAATGAATAAAAAAACAAAAAGAAATCGAAACACCAGTATTATTCATGTGTCTGTGTGCATAGGTACAAGTGTACGTTGTATGTGTGTCTTGAGTATTCATATGTGTGTGCATAGGTACAAGTGTACGTTGTATGTGTTGTCACGAGTGATGCTAAAAAATCAAGTAAGGAATTAGAGAGACATGAGGGAGCAAGATTGTGTGAAGAAAGAGACATTTTAAAACGAAAAGAAAATGTCATAAAAAGACAGAAGGAGGGGCAAAAAAGTTCGAAGGTGGGGGAAGAAGTAGCAAATAAATAAATATTAAATAATATAGACAGAAAAAAAAGCAGAAAAAGTTAATAAATGGAAGAGATAGTGGGAGGGGTGAAGAGAGAAGGATATTATGTTGATAATGTATCCCTCCCCCTCTCCGTCTCTCCTCCTTTTAACACTTGAACAATATGTAAGGTCTCTCAGTCTAGTCCCCTCCTATGTTCAGTTCTATTGGACTACAACGAAGTCTGACCTGTTCTCATAGTAGAGAGTAAAGCGTGGCGGAGGGATATCTGCTTCAATATTGACAATTCTAGTTGGTATAATAAATGATGCTCTGGACCAATAGGATCATATCATAGCGCGCCCCTCATAGAAACAGGGCATCGACCAGTCGACGTAAAAATTGTCACTAGCTAATGTGCTGTTTGAACTTGCTTTAGCCTCCACATCCATATATGGAGGCGCAGTCGTAGTGACACAGGAGTTACAGCCGCGGTGTCAGAGTTCAAAACAGATAGAGTGCTTTTCGTCGGGCATGCTCTTCCTTCCACTAAGCTTTGACACGATTCATCCGCGTTCATACACAGCGAGCACCGCGCCGTGCTGGTAGCAAGCTTGCGAGAATGAATATCTAGGAGTTTAGAAATGCGTTCTTATTTACGGTCCGTCTATGAAATCACCTCCGCTACAGCAGCATCGACTCGAAATATATTACAGCAAAGAGACGACCGTGTTCACAAATAACAATACTGACATAAAAAAAAAAACAAATAACAGCATCTTCGTTTAACAGAAGAACAACGAAAGTCACAACAGGACCTCAGAATGAAATTTCATTATTACTTATAGCATGAAACTAAGAGTCATCTCCGGTGACACGGCATTTACGCACAACACTCTGGATGAATAATACTTCAAGTCTTAGTTTTTACATGCGGTCATCTTCGACCGATAAACATCCCGGAATCTTATACCCGACCAAGACACCATCAGATGCTGGCGGACCTACTCTTCAACTAAGTGAGCGTTTTTGAAAAAAAAATCTATTTCAAAAACTAAAGTAAATATACATATATAAATGAAAATATATGTATAATAGTTTGCGCATATGTATTATATTTATTTATATATCTATATATATATGTGTGTATATATATATATATGTGTACGTATATAATATACATGCAGACACATGCACACATAATAAAATTTGGGAGATTGCAAATTTGAATATTGGCTGCTAATACTAATTTTATATCGTTGATCGCTTACTTTTTAGTCCCTTGTTTTGGCGGGTATTTTTTCCATTTTTTAAAAATTCATATACGTGTTAATAGAAATTGATTTTTTTTTTTCCAAATTTATTCGTCATTATTTATTTATTATAATACACAACCATTCTTGCCTATTCAACTGCAACTGTGCCAGGGTCGCATTACAAAACAATTGCACTCGTTGTAATTGCCTTTTTACCCTTAAATGTTCTCTATATTACAAAAAACATACTCTTAAGTTTAATTAGTTTTAAGACTAGATATCACATGATTTTTTTTACTATATAACCTTTGGAGAAGTGTTATTCCCACCCTAACTCGCACACATATACATACATACATACTTTTACACATTTGCTTGGGCGTGAACGTGTGGTGGTGAGAAAGACGGTGTGAATATTGTTATAAAATCATTTACCTTTCCCTCTTACTTTTTAAAACTACTTAACCTCTTTTCCCATCAAATTATCTTTATTGCAACATCTTTAAGAGCGTAGCATTAATTTTTATACAGAGAGATTTTAGTGTAAGCCTTTGCTCCCTTTCTTCCCTTCCTCCTTTCTTTTACTCGGAGAGTAAGAGAGAGAGAGAGAGGAAGGAACAAGATCTCCCCAACCAGTGACCCGCCAACCCACAGCCGGGTTCGCGTAGCTGTTAACTTCTGTGATCTGTGTCGAGTAACTTCGCCACAGTGCTGTGGTTCCCGGCCTCTCTCGACACCCAGCGCCACAAGATGGCGATGGTGCCATTTCAACAATCCAGTGTAAACATGAGGGACCATGCGGACGACTTGGGAGGTTCGGCTCCGACGCCGACGCAACAGAGCCAACAAACTCCAAATCAAGTCGTCCAGACGACCACTGCTCCGACGACTCCAAATGGAAACCAGTCAAGCACACCGGACAATAAACAGCAACACATAGAGTGCGTGGTGTGCGGGGACAAGAGTTCTGGGAAACATTACGGACAGTTCACCTGTGAAGGTTGTAAAAGCTTCTTTAAAAGATCTGTCAGACGTAACTTAACATACACCTGTCGAGGAAACCGCAACTGCCCCATTGACCAACACCATCGGAACCAGTGCCAGTTCTGTCGGCTTAAGAAATGTTTAAAGATGGGAATGCGACGGGAAGGTAGGTCGTTTCCCGGTGAGTTTTAACTGATTTATAAACCTTTTCATTAAGAACAAAGGTGGACTTTCCACAAGCCCTGATATTAATCATCACAAGTATATTTCAGTGTTAAATAATACATACAAAATTCACTTTGTCAAAATCCAAAACAATTTAAAAAATTAACAAGCATGTTCTTTATTTTTATCAGTTTTGTTCATCGCCGAATAGACCTCGTCTCAATTTTTTTTCTCCTTCAGTAATTTGAGAATATTATGTTCTCATTAAGTTTTCACCGAATAAATTACTTTGTTTTAAATCTCTTGTCTAGAGAGAATAACGTTAAAGGCTTTTTGTTTAATTCCTTCCCGAAGTTATAATACGAGAGTGAAGTAATCTGTCCTCGTTTCTATTCGCACATACTAAAGAATTTATTTGTTTGTCTATTTATCCTTCCATCAAAACGATGGTGGTGGGAAAAAGAAAAAAATCGCACATATTACATAAAATTTCTGTCTCTTAACCAAACTGTTTTTCAGTTCGGAATTTATTTCAATGGCTAAATCATTACACAGAGCACATTTAAGGGGAAAATGGTTTTGGACCATGAGGCCTTTTTAATATTATCTATTCCACGGTCTTAAAATCTTCTGAATTTGGGGGGGATTTTCTCATAAAAAGTACATTGAGTTTACTATTTAAGTGATTTTTTTTTTTTTTTTTTTTTTGCATGATAACTCTCTTTAAAACTAATCAAATGTTTACGGAAAAATCTTTTCCGAACAAGAATATATATATATATATATAATGCATTTTGAGATAGTATTTTCCTGTCATTTTCTAGTATTTGTTGTTGGTTTGCTTATTTTTTTTCCAAAAGCTAATTTCGTATTCTGAGTTTTAAACTAATGATAGTTTGAAAACTTCTCATTTCCATAACGCGAATATTTTCCTTTTGCGTGAATCTACTTTTCTTCTGGTCTATAGCAGTTTTTTGTTTTATCATTTATACACATAAATGTTAGTATTTTGAAGTAGTTATTCTCACGTCCTCCGTGATTTTCATTTTCTTTTTGGTAGATTACCTTAAAATAAACTTCCCCGAGCGCTCTATTGCATAAAAAAATACTACCTTCTAAACATAACTTATATATATATATATATATATATATATATAACAGCAACATTGATGTAGCATAATAGTGAGTAAACATGAACACGTGCATGCAGTTACTTAAGAAACTTTGTCTACCAAATCTGTTTATAAACAAATTTTATTGTTGACTGACGTGTGAATGTCAGGATTGTATTTTAATGTCGTTTTTGTTTTCATTTCGTCCTTGTTTTTGTTGAGAACTCTTATTTTTGTTTCCTCTAAAATAAAATACACATCACTTTAGTAATTACTATAATTTTAAAAGATACTGGAAATACCGTAATTTACTTTGTGTAACATTTTTAAACTTGAGCAACGCAACGTAAAAAAAATACGCTAATTATTCAAAATTTTATAATATTTTTCTGCGCTTATTAATACTTAAGATAAAAACATTTCGACAAACATAATTTGTATATTAATTGTACTTATTATCACTTATTTGTAAATCCAAACATTTAAAATATTTTTTGTCAAAAATTGAAGTGAGTAATTAGGATTTGTGTATGTCTTTCAGTTTAAACTTTTCTTTCTTTGTCCGTCTTCAGTTTCTTATATTATCCATTCTTTCTTTTTCAAAATTTCTTTTTTTCAGCTGTCCAAAGAGGCAGGGTTCCACCAACACAGCATCCAGGATTTCCAGGACAGATGGCACTCACCAATGGGGACCCACTAAATGGACATACGTACTTGTCCAGTTTTATCTCTATGCTGATTCGTGCTGAGCCGTACCCAACCTCTCGATATGGCCAGTGCATGCAACCGAACAATATTATGGGAATAGAGAATATTTGTGAACTAGCGGCTAGATTGTTGTTTAGCGCCGTTGAATGGGCCCGAAATATTCCCTTTTTTCCCGATCTGCAGGTGGCTGATCAAGTTGCGTTATTACGGCTTAGCTGGAGTGAACTGTTCGTGTTGAACGCTGCCCAGTGTTCCATGCCACTCCATGTAGCCCCGTTGTTGGCTGCAGCGGGGCTCCACGCTAGTCCGATGGCAGCGGACAGAGTCGTCGCTTTCATGGATCATATTCGAATATTCCAGGAACAAGTTGAAAAACTGAAGGCACTGCATGTAGATTCAGCGGAATATAGTTGTTTAAAGGCTATCGTTCTATTTAGCTCAGGTAAGAAACTCTTTCTTCATTTTCCTGACAGGAAAAATATTAAAACTATTTCGGTGTATAAAAGGCAATGTGTTAAGATTAACAAAACCTTCGCACGAGACCGGAAACTACTCAGTTTTGTTTCTGTAAGAGTCGAAGAATTAAATGTCAAAATTAAACACACATAATGACTAACATATTAACTTTCAGTAATACAACACCCCCTAATATGTTAGTGTTGACTAGTTTATTTCAACAGATTCATTCTGAACCCATTGACATGTCTAATTTATTTCATTGCAAATTGCTAAGATGTTTTTCTCTTCACAAATACGTTTTGTACGACTATGAAATATGACGAATGGAAAACATAAAATCGACATTTTTTATACAAAATTTAACCAAAAAGTAATTAATCTGAACATATTTTTTTCATTTATGTCAAACAAGCGTTTATGTTTAAAATACGAATATGACAGGCTCTAGAGAGTCAAAAGGATTTTTTTCCACTTTGATTTGAAATAGATTTTATTAAATTAAGTTGTATGATTGGAACTCGTGACTCATCTGCTCGAATACAGAGTCCATCCTTCTTTCACTTGCAAGGGTAATGATTTTTTTACACTGACTAAAACATATGAGAGCCTTTTCATGTGATCACGCGTTCATAGGGGGCTGGAAGAAAAAACAAGAGCGACAAGTTATGAACTAATTTGCCATCCTTGACCTTAACGACTCTTCGCCTCGTTATTCCCAGTTGATCTACTGGTTATTTTACCTACACTAAAAACTTAACGCATTTCCATTTCACTTTCAATTCAGGAATTTAAAAATACTTTTTCCAATCATGAAGCATTTCCCTTAGAGCACGGAGTTTTATTTTTGAGTATTATTGACTTCAAAAAGATAAACAAACACACGATTCGCGTCCACTAAAGTATGGAAAACTTTTTGAAGTGAAAGGCGTTGCAAAACATCTCGCTTTTAATTATTAGACTACTAATCCATTGGTTAAAAAAAAAAAAATCAACCGATCAAGTAAAAACCATCAGAAAATAATTTCTTTTTTCCTCACAGGCACAACTATTCTGCCGTCGATACCATCTTGTTTGTTATAGCCGTTTGGAAGATATTCAAATGAATTACATACGATAATTTACAAAGTTTTCCTTTTAAGAGAATATACAATCTGTTTATTCTGACAATTTAATACAAGAACGATTTTTGTTTATCATTCATTTTTCTGGAGTTTAAGGAAGCGTTTCTTATGAAGGAATTCAAAGTAAGAAAAACATCGGTCATGTTTTGTTTCTCCAATGGCTTGTTTTTATTCTATTAATACTTGTCTTTGATACATTTGAAATACTTTAAAATATTTTTCCACAAATTAAACCGGCTATAAAGTTTCTACATCAGTTAATTTGTCATTGTAGTAAATTACTTTTCTTTATTCAACTTCAGAACTTAATTTTGACAGCAATGAGGAACTGTGAAGTAAAAATAAATGCAACTTCCAGCGTTTTCGTTATATTTACTTTTAACTTCGTTTTATTGATTTGTTGACATTTTCCCGTGCAAATAGGATATTAATTTACTATTTAATTTATTTATATATAAAAATTCACCAGTCACTATTTTTAAACTTAACATAATATGATGGGCTTATTTATTTGTTTATATTTAATTTTTAACAACATCACTATAATTAACTCATAAAATACTTTAAGGTAGTATCTCATTAACTTTTTAAATACTGTTTTCCATTTTAAGTTACTTTTCAGTTTTCATCATCTAATTTTGCACAACTTCGCAAATATTTCATAATTCTTGTATGAGCGTCACACTCTCCACGTGAGTACATCTGCATTCTAATTTAAAACAGATGTATGCATTCCAAGAATTGTTAGTAATGCGATATAAATGATATTATCAACCATCCACATTTGTTAGATTTTTTAAGTAAGCATCTATTTAAAACAAAAGTAAAGCTTAGTAGCCTTTTTTTATTTTTTCATGCATTCGTTTTTACTAAGATTGAGTGGTAGGGGGGGGCATTGTCCGCAATAACTTTGGATTTTGTTCCATCTTTTGTGATACTGACGAAGAATCACAACTGTCTTAAGTAATTTCTATTTAATATAATATCCTTTATTATTTGAATGTGGGTCAATAAGCAGTCGATCAAAAGGTTAGTTTAAATCTTCTCCGTGTATGCGTTGAACAATTTTCCATTATAAATCTTTAACTTGACAATGTTAATTTATTCAGTGCATGATGTATACTTAATGGTTTTTTACAAATTGTCATTTTGGAAAAAAAAATCCTGCTGGGGTTTAACATTAGGATTATCATTTGAAGAAAAGCTTAAATATTTTACATTCGTCTAAATTCTGATGTGAGGAAATAAAATCGTAGTCATAACTTTTTTCGATCCTTTGACTCCCCAGCTTCGTTAGGATGTCAGATGTATTCGTTAACCTCTTTATTCAATTGACAATGGTTAATAATTGTTCTCATTCCACTGATTGTGCTAGAAACGATCTCTGTAGTTTATAATTCTTGGTTAATAAATAAACCGAATTAATTTTTTTTCCCCAAAAAATTCGTATCGCATAATTTTGACAAGTATTGTCAGTTTTAAACGTTCTATAGCCGAAACTAGAAATAAAAAAAAAATGTATTTCTGTTCGATTAAATTTCTTTACAGGCATTTATGATTTAATGTAGTCATTCGACATTGTATTTCACGGAAATGTTGAAATGAAAATATTCTGTGATATGTAGACCTGTTTATGTAAATTTGAATTTATATTGCATTCCAATAGGTCGTCTATAAATTTGGACCAATTTAAAAATGAATCTGATTATTTCGAAAATAATTCTAGCTTTGAAACGCGTCTTACGAAGTGACGTTCGTGTTATTTTGTATCGCGTAAGAATTTCTTATCGGTAAACAGTGTTGTACTCTTATGATAAAAAGTGGAAACAAATTAGCTTATTTTGTATATAAAGTATTAGACACCTTATTGAGTTTATCCATAAAACTGTCCTGTAATTTACTTTCAGTAATTCAATCGCTATAAAAAAAAAACTTGAACTGAAGTCTAAAAAACATGTCTAAAAAAACATGCTGCTGAGATTTTCATTTCATGTATACAATAGATTTGGAGATTATTCTCAAAGAATTCCACTTGGATCATTGCATAAAGTTTTCATAAAAAAACTTGTCTGCAGAAAATGATTTCTTTGTGTTCCTCTTTGTTTCATAAGTGAACAGGACCAGAGACTTTCCTTTTTGCTGAAAACTTAATTTTCCCAACTAATAATTGTAAAAACTGTTAAATTTATAGTGATATTACAATTAATGTGGGTGCCTTTGTTCATCTGGTAGAGATTAGGTTTTTAACATGTTCTGATTTATGCTTTTGTTATGGTCTAATAATCGCTATATAATAATAATTTTAGTGTTTATGTAAATTACCAATGTTTGTCGCGTGAAAACAATTTGAAAATTTTAAATATTTTAGTAAGATAAACTAAACTACGATTAAGGCTAGGTAACACTTCAATCTAAAGTTTTTACCATAATCAAGTAAAAAATGTAGATGCGTGTACTACTGTGTAGTGTATGAATGTGACTTTGGGATTCTTTTACTATCCCTTTTTTGGCTTTATATGAAGTGTTGGGAAGGATAATACATTAGAAATTTTCTGCCGGATTTGAAACAAAAAAAAAACTTTAGATTCTGATTTAAGTAAGATGCGTTTCTATATGTAGTGTTAATCAATACGTAATTCTAATCTCTTATTGGCAAACTTAGTATGACGAACTATTTACTACTGTCATATTTAGTAGCAGAGTACATAAGGAACGACATGAATGTTGACTGTCATGTTAGTTTTATCTTTCTTCCACTTCCCTCTACTTAAATTTACAGCTACTACTACAACAAATAAGTTCATATATTCACAATAAAAAAAAAACGCATGTGTGAGTTATATATTGGGTACACTGTGGAAATAGCTGCTTTACAGAAGTACACTCCAAGTGTTGTGGGAGGTGTTGAAACCCAATTACTTGTTCATCCGCAGTAATGACCAAGGCCTCCTTTCACTAGAATAGCCTTTTATCTTTACAACTACTTTAACTTTACTATCATGCTAGATTTAGTGCATTTATTTGTATGTATAGTTGTTTTTTTTCTATTCATCTTAGTAAATTTGCTCCATTTAAAGCTCTTGTAAAATTATGAAATTCAATTTTTGTTACTTTTAACGCAATAAAAAGTAATCACAAATCTTATACTGAACTAATTTAGCTTCCAGATCAGTAAAAACGACACTGTTGTAATTTCTTTCTAAAACCTATAATCCACCAACTGTAAGTTTATTGAATGAGAGGATTCATGAATTTTATCTTTGTCATTTAATAAAAGTAGGTTTTTTTCCCTTTGCTTGCATTCATTTTAAAAGTGATGCTCCAGTATTTGTTAGAAATATTCAATATTTTAAAACTTGAATATTTCTATTTTATAACTTTCCTAGAATTAAAATGACTGTTACAAAAATATTCGCATACAAACAAGGATTTATTTTAAAGCACATAATTTTTAATCGGTGAGCTAATTGAACAATGTATGAAAGCTTGTTGATCATGAAAACTCAGAACTCCTTTGAACAATATATTCATGATACAAAGTTATTGTTAGCATGCAAATGAATCCAATAAAAATTACTTTTGACCTATTTTTAGATCTTTTACTATTTTATTTGACGAATGACATTTCAACGCAAAATCCGAATATATACTCAGTTATAAACAGAAACTCGTCAGTTTTCAACATAAATCTCATTTGACAAATTTCATATGAAAAATGAAATCTTTTTATATAAGTCTTATTTTCCCTACAAAACATATCTTTGAAAGTCACTTGGTATTCGGTGTTATATTCTGTTTTATTTATTTATTTTTGTCATGAAATTTGTTGTTTGAAATAACCGGGGAAAAGGTTTGAAAAATT